GAGGGGGTTTTTATTTGAAAGGATGTCCCTCTATTTTCTTGGCACATCTTCCCCTTTAATTGAGACGCGCTCCCGAGCGTCTATATGACATACCTCATATGACAATAGAGCAGGAAAGAGCACATTGTAAATATATAAAAAAAAACAAAGAAAAAGAAAAAGAAAAAACCCGTATAGCTGAAATTTAAATGAAATAAAATAAGAAAGAAAAGAAAGAAACGAAAATGCGAGAATACGTAAGAAGGACATGTTTTGGCAAAGTAATGTTAACTTACGGACTAAGTTATCGCATAAATGATTAAGTAGCCGTGGATTTAAGCGATGGAAGTGTCATCAACTCCAGAGCACACGATGGCATAGTAATTGTCATATTAGCTCCAGTGCGTATCTTTGTTCGGATATAATATAGGAGCAAAACACATAGAACCACCATCGCCGCCACTAATATCAAAGTTGTTAACGAGAATGGATGTTCAGTCCATTGTTGTAAATAACCCGTCGTTATTGGTTTAGGTGTACTTTGTATGAACTCTATAATGGCTTGAACTTCAGATGAAATATATGGTAGTTTTGCCCAATGTGTTTCATTTGCTAAAGTCTCTTGAAGATCAAGGAAATCTTTTTGTAGCCGATTAACCGATGCATTATAAATTAACTGTATTGGCGTGGCAACAGTCACTGCTAAACCCGGTAGAAAAAATTGATCGCATGCAAGCGATTTAGTGTTCATAGTGGTTATCAGGGCCACTGGCGGCAATATCACTTCTTCATTATTTCCGATTGTATGGTGTTCCAAATCGGAAGATGTAACCGAATGGCATTTGACACTTTGATTGCTTGATATTGCCCAGTGATGTCCGACTCGCCGAAGAAATAGTCGGTCCGTGTATAGCTCAGTTCGGCACGCCGTTAATGTTGAATCGGTTAGAACCTGATACAGACAATCGTCTGAAGCTTCTTTTCGGCTGGGAGGAGTTTCTCTGCATGATGACATTACTTCAAAGTCACATGCAGCGGCTTCCTCCTTTGACCACCGGATGAATTGTTGTAAACTGGACTCGATCTCTAGGTACGCTGGCATTTGAGCCAAACGAACTCGTCGATTGCTGTGAGTAAATGGGATAGGCACTACTTCATACACCGAGAATGAAACTTGGTCTTGAGATGGTGCTGCGAAATAGGAGGTGAAAACCAAGTTTCCTATTAGGAGGCCAGCATCTGTTGAATCAGGAGTTTTGCATGGGAGGAAATCGATTTGCTGGCGGACGAGTAAACGAGTAATGAGTTCGATCATAGGAACTGAATTGTCTGCATCATCAAAGGTGATATTTAATGATTTCGTTACCATATCTACTACATTGGGTAGATCTTTTTGATGAACGAAATGTAAATTCAGTCGATTGGATAAAATATCATGCATTGACGTATGAATGAAGTGCGTTTCCATGGTATGGGCGATGGAATTCAATCTGGAATTTAAAAATGATGTTTGTGACATAATCGTTCGCAGGGCATCCGTATGTTCACGTAAGATGTCCCCATGTTCATTTACTAATGCTATCGTCTTGTTTAATGCAACTTGTGTATAATTCAGTTCACGAGCCACTTTGAATTCTCCTTCATTTAAGTGCAGAATTTGTGCTTGTTGATTCTGTGACATTAATCCCAAAGTTTTAATAGCATTGTGCATCATATTTACTTGACTTTTCAGGTTTCTATTTTGAACAAAGTCTATGGCTGACATAATCAAGGATCCGGTTCCGATTCCAATAGGAATGAGCGCTGCCAACCAACGTTTTACTCGTTGAAGTGGTGTTCGGATTACTATTGACGAATTGGTGCGGGATATCACTGATGATTTGGTTGGGGATGCTATCAGCGGTGTCGTCCAGGGTATTCTTACTGTGGTAATTGATCTTGTGGTTGATCTTTTCGTAGTTGTGATTTTAGCTTTCTCCACTGGCTTTAATTCTTTGGCATGTTTCTGCATGATCTTTGAATTTGGTTGACACTGAGGAATTTTCTTCATAGCTCCTCTTGGAATTAAATAACACATATCCGGGTACATTGGAATTGTGACAGTAAAAGTCACAATTCTGTTTGCTGGGCGATACTCCGATACATAATGTAAAATCAATCCAGATTTAGTATGTAGAACATCAGCTTTTGGTATCTGCAGAATATTTGTACTTTGTGTCACGTCAAGTGTCACGATAATTGCTACCAATAAAACTATTACAGCTGTTCTTTTGTGTTTAGTCATGAATTCTTGACTATCGTCCAATCCTGGTGTGATCGCCAATTGTAACGGAAATAAGAATAAATCAAATATATAATGAATATGAATC